GATGCAGTCTTGCTTGTCGAGATTATTTACTACCAACTAGAATTCAAAGCCAATTTAAATTCCTTTCTGACCATTATTGGAATATGATGCTAGATGAGTTAATTGATTTTGATAAAAAAAGATTAGTTGCTCTGAATGTTCTTATAAGACAAAAGGAGCGAATAGATAAGGCCTACGATAAAAAGGTTAAGTCGAAAGCTTTTACAGTTGGTGATTATGTTTGTAAGATCATTTTGCCTATGGATCGAAAAGATAAAACTTTAGGTAAATGGTCACCATTTTGGGAAGGCCCATTTCAAATCATCCAAGTATTTTCAAATAATGCTTATGAGTATGAGGAATTGACTCCCGAAAGTCGAATTACGAGAATAAATGGAAGCAATTAAAGAAGTACAAGCCTACGTTACATGAAACTAGAATAATGGAAGAATAATATATAAGAAATTAAGATGTCAAAATGACATTGAAATTAAAAAAAAAATCTAAAATGACACATTTCATTAATACAGTTACACAATAGAAAGCAAAAGAGGTTGAAAATTCAAAGAGGAAATTTCAACTTTAGTTTTCTCCAAGCGTTTCTTCCCAAGCTTAATCCTTGCTTCATTCATTGAATCTTCAATTTTTAGAGGTTGATTTTCTTCTTCCAATAGATAAGGAGCCTTTGCATACTGAAAATCGATGTTTGATCTCTTGAACTAACTTTTATTCAAAAGATGCTAACCCATAATTTTTAATTTCACCCTTTTTTCGTTGCACCTTTTAATTTTTTGTTATAGTTCTTCAACCCGTTTCATCCAGTTTGGGCCTCTAAATCATTAGCTTGACTTTGGAACTGAACAACTAAATTCCATTGTTGGGATATAGCGTCAGTCTTTTTGTCTAAGTTTGTTCGCTGACTCTTTTTTCATCTTTACTTTTGCAAATAATTAGATGAGTGGATGAACATCTACAACGTCCTCAAGTAATTAATTGGTTGGCGTACGCCGCATTGATCGATTATTCAAATTCAAAATAAATTAAAAATCAACACAATCCATCAAATATCTTTTGTGCCATGTGCACTTAATTCAAACTTTTTCATAAAAAAAATAGTCAAGTCATTTCGGCACGAAATACAAACAAGCGCTTCCGCCTCCATCTTGCGAGCATATAAGCCAATGTTTAAACGCAAAAATATGACTTAAACCACAATCTCTAAAATCAACCAACAAACACTTTTAGTGCATTTGTCTCCCACTACTTTTGCAACCAATCCAAGGCGTTTCGACTACTGACCAAGAATGAACATCACCCCTAGAGGCAGACCATGACTTTTAAGACTTCACTGGCTAACACCTGCCCAACAAGTCTTAGGAGCAACAGTTCTGCGCCAGCCAAAGGCCTAAAAAAAGCAAAGCCCAATCCAATTTCAATCCACTCAAAATGATCCAACGTACAACATTCATCACACATGAAATTCAACGTACACTATTCCGATCTCCACTTTTTGACTATGCTAATTTTGGATTTTAAACTGACTTGGATGTTAAAGTGTTAACCTTTCAGACCACCTGCGTTGCCACATTCGAGATTAACATCGCCAATTCAAGATCACTCATCATTAAAACCTATTAATTATGGTTCCACAGTGGTGTGCGTGTATATATATATATATATATATATATATATATATATATATATATATATATATATATATATATATATATATATATATATATATATATATATATATATATATATATATATATATATATATATATATATATATATATATATATATATATATATATATATATATATATATATATATATATATATATATATATATCAAATGAGAGTGATTTTAAATGAGAGATGAGAGTAACAAACAACAACCATTAGATCAAATTAATAAGAGAGAGAAATTAATAGTCACATTAATAAATAAGTTTAATCATGATCTAATAGTTGTTGTTTGTTCCTTTCATCTCTCATTTTAAAATCTCTCTCACTTGATATGTCATATATATATATATATATATATATATATATATATATATATATATATATATATATATATATATATATATATATATATTAGTAGTTATAATAGGTGTTATTGATGACATATATCAAACCCCCAAGTCACTTCGTGTGTTTTAATTCATCATAACACATAAACAAAGAATACACTGATAGAGTTAATGTGAACATAAGCTAGTGAAAGTCTATTCTTATGATACGCTATAATTAACGTACGTTTAAGGCATCAATGCTAATTCATCTTGGTCCCCGTGCAGAAATAGACATTCTTTAGACAAGATTTTTGCAACATATCATACTCGTTTGAACAATACTATGGATAATGTTTGTTTATGAACAATGAATCTTTATATTTTATTTGACTTCACGCACTAACGTGATAAAATTGTGTTAATCTGAAACAAATTATTACGTTGAAAAAAAAGAGTAATTGGTAATACTAATTATGGAACCGCGTTGATGGTGACTTGTTCATACGGCAATTTCAAAAGCTCTTGGATTCTTATGGCCAACAATTATCACAACTTTTCAATATTTTGAAGATGATAATAAATATAATGTTTTCTGTTTTGTAGCACCCATGCACGTCATTTGCTAGTTTCATCCATGAGTGTATTATTCTAATCAAGTTAAACTACAACAATTTAAAACCAAAACAAATACTATTCAAATAGATTTGAATATTTGGTCAAGAGTTCAACCTTAGGTCGACACATATAAAACAAAATACTTATTACACGTTGTTAATTCCTTAGTGGTTGTCAAACTAATATATATATATATATATATATATATATATATATATATATATATATATATATATATATATATATATATATATATATATATATATATATATATATATATATATATATATATATATATATATATATATATATATATATATATATATATATATATATATATATATATATATATATATATATATATATATATATATATATATATATATATATATATATATATATATATATATATATATATATATATATATATATATATATATATATATATATATATATATATATATATATATATATATATATATATATATATATATATATATATATATATATATATATATATATATATATATATATATATATTAGATAAGTTATAATATCAATATATATGGAACAACGATAGGTATCATCATGAGCAATATTTCATTCGAAAAATCTTCTCTGATGTCCTCTCTATCAGGATTCTAAATTTCACCTGAGAGTCATTACAGGTGATCTGCCACTTAGTTGTCTACTTCCTTTTTATCCTTTATCTCCAAATCATGTTCTCTCTATCAGGATTCTAGATTTCACCTTAGAGTCTGATCTGCCACTTAGTTGTCTACTTCTTTTTTATCCCTTATCTCCAAATCAAACTCTTGAAATAACAATGTTCACCTTATCAATCTTTATTTTGCATCTTTTTTATATATAACGTACTTGATTGTAGCATGATTTGTGTATACCACCATTTTACTGTCCACCAAATATGATATAAATTTATAAAAAGCAAAGATAACATATAACAGTTCCTTTTCATTGGTGGCATGGTTGATTTAGGCTTTTATCAATGTCTTGCTTGCATAGTAAATAGTATGGAACATTTTGTTACGTCTTTACCCTAATACAATTTCAATAGTAAAGTCACTTATATCACACATTAATCAAAAGGATTTGTCCAATCTAGTGCTTTCATAATAAGAGTGTAAACCAATCCAATAGTAAAGTCAGGTGTATCACTCAAAATTTTGAAGATATTTCTCACTAAAGAGATATGTCACCTCATACTGCAGTCGTTGACACATGAGCTTAGTGATCTTTAAAAAATCTTGAATAAATCTTATATAAAAACTAATACGATCGAGAAAAATTATGATTCACTTAGCATTTGTGGGTGATGATAACTTCTCTATAACTTCAATCTTTACATCATTTACTTATAGTCCCTTTTTTGAGATATGTGACCAAGTATAATTCCTTCTTTTACCATGAACTGAAATTTTTCTCAATTTAGTACTAAGTTACTTTCTTCACATATTTCCACTGAGGCTCTGAACATTTTGTGTACTGCCACTGTGCATGAAACAGGACCATACGCTGCTCTTCTGAATAAAAAAGAAAGCTATTTGAAAAAAACATAATACACATACTCTCCATGCACCATGCATTAATACACATACTAACATACAGTTTCAATTTCAGCACTTTCTTTTATTACACAGATAACACTTGTCAATGCTCATACCATCAAAACAATAGCTCACGCATAAACCTCATTCTCCCATGACACTCCACACCATAACTTCATCACTTCTCCATTTTCATACATAAACCATAACAACAACATAAATTGTACCCTCACTATTCATCATCACCTTCTTCATATACAACACCTTGCGCAACATTTCCGTACACCTTTATTGTCCCCATAGCGACCTCCTCTGTCACACTCCGTCGCCGCCATTTTTTTTGCATCTTTCCTTTGTCTTCCTCATCCACTGAGCCTTGTTTCCATTTCTAATCGCACCGCAGAAGAGTCGCGAACAAGGAGAAAGAGTGCAGCCGCTGTTGCGAGAAAGATAGAGAACCGCAAGAAAAGAGGTAGTGGCATCGCGTGGAAGCAAGAAGAGATTGAGTTTAGAGAAGAGAAAGGATCCGATTTTGGTGAAGACCATCACTGTACATTTTAATTTTTTTTTTGTGACTAATTAATATGGATGTTACGCTATCAGCTTTATTGTCTTTATAGCTTAGTATTTCTGTGTGAGTTTGTAAATTTTTACATATTTTTGCTTGTTAGTGATTGTTCCACTATGTGTTTGGGAGTTGTTATTGCGAATATTCTCATATGACCGTTTATTGACTTTTGTTTAATTATAGTCGAGAGTAATGCAGTGGGTGTGATGTTTGCGTAAAAGTGCCTATTGTTTTTTTTTTTGGACAATAACAAAATTAACTTCTTTCATTGATCAAAAGAGATTCGATACAAGGAGGAATAACATTAATAACACTACGCCTAGACCAAGAATTGGCCGCCTTCGGTAACGAGTGGGCAACCATATTTGCTTGGCATTTAATAAACTTTACCTCAAAGTTTTGAATAAGAGGAAGTAACTGCTTAATAGAAGAAATAATACAACTAAATTCAGAACAACCAACATGAGTAGATAGAACAACATTAACCACCACCTGGGAGTCACTTTCAAAGATCACAAAATTCATGTTTCTAGTAATAGCGCACTGAATTGCCTCTTTCAAGGCCAAAGCTTCCGCCTCTACCGTAGACATAATTCCAGTATCCCAAGCCACTCCTGCTGATATGAATCTCCCAACATTATCCCTCACACACCAGCCCCTATTAGTTGTCTTTATTTGGTTATTGAAACCCACATCCACATTGCACTTAAGCCAACCTTCCTGAAGCGGATTCCACTTCACACAACTAGGATTTGCAATATTGACTTCTTTCACATCACGAGCCATAAACCAATTCTTCCAATTAAAGAAGGCTTGGAGTCCCACCTTCGAATAATCTTCTCTCTCATTATTCCATATAATACTATTTCTATTCTTCCAAAGGGAATCGAGAAGCACCACAAACCTACCAACCTATCGGCTTTCCTCTTTACTACAAATATCAAAAATAAGTGTTGTAGCATCAGAAAAAGAGTGTAACCTGGATTCTATAAGGTGAAACAAACCTGCTGCCCGTCAACACTGGTGAACGTTAATACAACCAAAGAACACGTGTCAATCATCTTCCACGCCAACTTCACAACTTTGGCACACAGAAGGACATTGGACATAATGCTGGAGGAGTCTGACCCTCAACGGCAAACAACGTCTACAAATCCTCCATAATAAGTGTTTCGCTCGAGGAGGGGCCATAATGTTCCAGATGTTATCCCAAACTTCCGCACCGCTCCCTACCTGATTATGGCGCCGAGAGTTCCTCCATAACCGGTAGCCCGATCGCACACTATACTCACCGTTCTTTTCCTCTTTCCATATTATGCCATCCTCTGTCACCTCTCCTAACAGAGGAACCTTCATAATTTCACTTGTCACTGCATGATCAAATAAGGCATGAATAGCTTGGGTATCCCATTGTTTAGAGTTATGGAGTAAAAGATCATTCACACACATGTCATACACACCTGAGATCTGGGGGCCAGTAATGTAATCGCCTTCCTTACTTCTCAACCAAGGATCTCTCATAATATTTATATTACTACCATCACCAATGCTCCACCTGCATCCAAGTATTAAAACATCTCTAGCTTTCAAAAGGCTCCTCCAAACAAAACTTGGGTTATTACCAATCTTTGCATCTAAAAAAGAGGATTTAGGGAAATACCTTGCTTTGAATATGCGAGAGACGAGATTATGAGATTTTGATAATAATTTCCACCCTTGTTTAGCTAACATAGCTAAATTAAAAGCTTTGAAATCTCTAAAACCCATGCCTCCTTCAAGCTAAGTGTTCCCATGCCAACCATTTGATACCTTTATTATTATTGTTTCCTCCCCCCACCAAAAAGCATTCAACATATTCTCAATATCATTGATGACAGTGTCTGGAATAAGATAAATGCTCATAATATAAGATGGGATCGATTGGAGCACAAACTTGATCATTATCTCCTTCCCCGCTTTGGATAACGCCCGACCTCTCCAAGAATTGATCCTCTTCCATATGCAGTCCTTTATGAAAGAAAAAGTCTCCTTTTTACTGCGACCTATCATAGAAGGGATCCCCAGGTAAGTGCCTGTACCCAACACCAGACGGACACCAATAACCTCGCAATATCTTCCTGAGCCGGAATGCTAATGTTACGAATAAAGAAAACTTCTGATTTTGAAAGATTTATCTCTTGCCCCGAAGCAAGGGAATATACCTTGAGAAGCTTAATAAGATGTGTCACCTCCGATACATTAGCCCTGCAAAACAAAAAACAATCGTCAGCAAAAAGCAGATGGGACACACTTGGTACCCCTCTACAAATTTGGATGCCATGAATATCACCACGAGCAATTGCTCCTTTTATGAGAGCTGAGAGGGCTTCTGCAATAAGAATGAATAGATATGGAGACAGTGGGTCTCCTTGTCTCAATCCTCTTCCTGGTAGAATAGGTCCAACACTATCTGAATTAACCAAAATCGAGTAGTTCACTAACGAAACACATATCGTCATCCAATGGATCCATTTGTCAGCAAACCCCATCCTTCTGAGCATACCCCTCAAAAAACCCCAATCCACCCTATCATACGCCTTACTAGTATCAATCTTCAAAGCCAAATGAGCTTTGTTCCCCGTTGTTCTCCTCTTGAGGGAATGAATGACCTCAATAGCAATTATAGCGTTATCAAGAATGGAACGACCTTCCACGAAAGCGGACTGCTCTTCCGAGATGCATTTACCCAAACAAAGTTTCAATCTATTAGCTAGTAATTTTGAGACCAGCTTATAGATCACGTTACACAGTGAGATAGGCCGGAGATCCTTCATGGTATGAGGGTTAGTACACTTGGGGATAAGACATATGTTTGTTTCATTTAGAGAGTCAGGAAAAAACCCTCTGTCTAACCAGTTCTTCGCTGCCACCCAAATATCATCCCCACAGAGATGCCAAAATTTCTGATAGAAAGCTGGGTTAAATCCGTCTGGACCGGGAGACTTATCCGGATGCATGGTAGAAAGGGGATTGAACAACTCCTCTTTGGAAATTGGAGAAAGACGCTTACTGTTATCATCTACAGATATTGTTGGTTGAATGAGTTCCAGTACTGGTTCATATACCCCCTGCCCTGCAAGGAATAAATTGTCAAAATAATCTTTCGCAATGTTGCACATACCATTGTGCTCTCGGACTTCATTGTCGTTATCATCGATGAGCAACTCAATTTGCTGAAACTTTTTATGTGTAGTAGCCGAGCAGTGGAAAAAAGCTGTATTTCGGTCTCCACTGCGCAGCCAATGCATTTTCGCCCGCTGCTTCCAGAATATTTCGCCGCGGCTGATCACTTTGTTATACTTCTGTTGAGCCTCAAAGAATCGTGTTTCCGCCTCCTCGTCTTGGGCATACTGTTGATCCTTGTTGACTTAATCCAAGGGTAGGGATTGTATGTTGACTTATTGTCGTTGTGCATGTCCCTCGTTTGTTGTCTTTGTTGTTTTTTTGGTTCTTAGAATCCTAACAATCTGTGGTTCCACGAACTACGGACGCTCTGATTTCTCAAGTTCCTTTTGAGAATACGTAGGCACAAGGTCCCCAATCCTTGGCGAGCGCACTTTTCTTTTTTCACACTCTTTTCTTTTTTCACCTGTCGTTTCCAAACTATGATTGCTTTGACTTCTTATTAAGGATACGTAGGCATAGGATTGTGAGATCCCAGTGAGCTACCTTTTATTTTTCTACCTTTTTTTCTTTTTCTACCTTTTTTCCCATCTTTATCCTTAGCAAACAATTTTAGCAATAACACAAATATTTCAAGAGGTTTCCGTAGAGTACTACAGACGCTTAGGGTGCTAGTACCTTCCCTTAGTATAACCAACCCCTTACCTTTGATCTCTCTTTGCTTAGCTTTATGTCTTGTTTTTTGCTTTGCATTTTATTTATGGGTTATTTTTTCTTTTCCTCTTCCCTTGGATAAATTAAAGATCGGTGGTGACATCATTGTTTTGCAAGCCAAGCCGATCTCATAGTTTTAGTATCTGATTCTCACCGCGACAAGTGACATGACATTACAACAAAATATTTGTTCCTAAACAGGTACGTTAAGTAAAATACTACATCTTCATTGGGTTAGACCCTTTCCAATTGTGTTGTCATCTTCAGTTAGAAACAATGGGTCATCAGGTTTCTTTCAAAGGCCAAGAATGTTCTTTGTTTTCAAGGTCCTCAGCCTTTCACTATGCCTTTTTTCTGCTGCAACATTAGTTTGTGTCTTGTACCTGCTCTGGGTTTTAAGTCTAACTGGTTCACTTGAACTTGGCCTTGAAAGATTTGTTATAATACCAGGTGGTTTGAAAGGTTTGTTCTTGCACACTTTTGGTTGCTTACCAAAGAAAACCTTGGCACCACTTGGCCTTGGTTTAGCTGCCTTGAGAGGTGATTTGTCAATCCTTAAAGATTGAATTTCTAAGACATCATCACCCCCTAATAATACAACCATAGTTTCATCCAAACATGAAGAATGTGTAGGTTGGTCCTTGATAGTTGGCTCAGTTGGTTCAGTTACCATTTCCTCAGTGACATTTGCTTCTTTTCCAATTGGATCAATTACCATTTCCTCAATGACATTTGCTTGATGGATAGTTGCTTCATTGACAGTTGTTTTTCCCTAATTGAAAGTTGCATCAGTTACAATTGGATCTACTACATTTGCTTCCTTGACAATTTTCTTGACATGGTAGTTGCTTCCTCAGTGACAGTTGTTCCTTAGTGATTGTTGTTTCATTGACAGTTATCTCCTTAATTACAGTTCCTTCCTTGAAAATTGGTTCCTGGGTGTCAGTTTCCTCATTAAGAGTTCCTTCCTTGATTGTTGGTTCTTTGACAGTTGGTTCCTTGACTGTTGTATCTTTGACTATTGTATCTTTGACTATTGTATCTTTGACAGTTGCATCTTTGGCTTTTACCTCCTTGACTTTTGTCTTCTTTGTTCCACCCTTAGTTGTACAATTGTTGATAGATCCCTTAGGCCTCCCCTGCATGAAACAAGTACACCATTAACATTGTTACCTAGTCTTATAATTAATTACATACAAGCACAAAATTTAAGTTAAACATTACCCTTTTTGGGGTGCCAATTTGGCTTTGCTATTCTGACTTGCTTGTGTAGGCATCTCTTGAGATACTTGTGTAGGTAAGTCTTGATTGGCCTGGGTAGGCATCCATTGACTAGCCTGGGTGGTATTTCTAGAGGGGACAAGCACAATTTGCTTGTTCTTCTTACAGGTCCTTTTGTTGTGGCCTAGTTCAAAACAAGTTTTGCACCTATGGCTTGTATTTCTTCTATGCCATTTTGTTTGGTTCACTTTATTTGGATCTCTGCTTCTAAGTTTCTTGGGACTCCCTGGGCCACGTTTGAATAAAGGGAGCAACATAGCTTCATTAGGTGTTGTAGGCCATTTGTTCTGGCCATTCAATAGGGTGATCACTTCACTGTAACATTTTTCGTATGTGCTTTTATGATAACACTTATGCACATATTTGATTGGGTCATTCACTTTCCTATGTATGGCAGCGACACCATGTGTACATGAAATCCCAACAAGTTCCCAATAGTTGCAGGAGCATGTTTGTTTTTCCAATTCCACTACAAAGCTATCAGTAAACAATACATGTGTGACTGAAAAGGTTAATCTAGCAACATAAGTTGTTACCCAACTAGCACTTTTTTCAATCTCTCTATCTAACCTCTTTAATGGTTTTGTCATTATCTCCCCTTTATAACCATCTACCTTTTCTCTAAGGGTTGCAAACCTTCCCATTAGATAATTCATAATCCACTCAAACATGGTTATGATTTGTTTGTCTCTTTGTAAAAGAATTGTTGCATTAAAGGACTCACTTAAGTTATTCATTAACACATCACACTTTGAGAAAAAAGGAAAAGCATGCTTACACCACTTTATTTTAGGAATAGCCTCTAACCACTCATAAGCCTCCAAACTGACCTCCTTGATCATAAGCATATTTACCTCATGAGCCTCAAAATAGGTTACCTTTGCAGCAGCCGTCATAAATCTCTAAACAAAGTTCCTCCTCCAAAATTCTTTTTGAAGTTATCATATAAGTGCCTTAAACAGAACCTGTGTTCATAGGTTGGGTACTCCTCTTCAAAACCTGAACTAGTCTCTAAACCAAGAATATGACAAATGCATTAGTACATTCAAGTGATTGGAAAAATAAAAATTTGTAAAAACACAAAGTTTGATGAAACTCAAGCTTACTTTTTATTGGTCAAATATGAAACACCATTTGATATCTCATATGTATTCAATAAGCAATTTTAGAAACCATCTCCATGAATATTTTGTTTCAGTCTCAACCACAACAAAAGCAATTGGAAAATATTGGTCATTAGGGTCTCTCCCAACAGCAATGAGTAAAATACCACCATACTTATGTTTCAAATGGCATCCATTTAATCCAATGAAAGGTCTGCATACTTTTATCAAAGCTTTCTTGGTCCCATCAAAACACATATAGAACCTCTCAAATCTAGGTTCCAAACCAAGACTAGGAACACTAATGTTGATTTGAAAGTGTTACCAGCTGAAACCCTTCTTAACTCAGCAGCATAAGACCATAGGCTAAACTATTTGCCAAAATCTCCTTCAACAATGTGTCTTGCAATTTTTCTTGCCTTGAATGCTCTACATCCTAGAATTTTTGTGGCATACCTTTGTCTAACATCTGATACCACCTCACTTAACATCATCCTTGAGTTATTCTTTAATCCATCAACAATGACCTTGGCAACCCACTCTGCTTTAGCACTTTTGTTGAAAATTCGTCTTCCACATTTGTGCATCGCAAATAATGTTTTAATTCTAACTGTGGTGGAGGTTAAAACTCTACTACACAAGACTGTATAGTCACATCTTTTCTTGTCCTTACATATCACCCTACATTTGCTAGCATCATTTTTTTCAAACTTAACATCCTTACCATTCAAAATATTATGCTCTAAGATAGCATCTTTGAACTGCCTCAAAGAAGAAAACTCCATTCCAACCTTGAAAACAAAATCCTTACTTAAAGAATCTTTTTCATTAAACCTGATTACACATGGCCTTTCATCACATTTGTCATCATCACCACCACCATTGTCCAATTCATCAGTCATGTATGAATCTTCAATGACATATTCCTTACCCATCTCTTTTGTTATAAAACTCTTCTTGTCTACATGAGCAGTACCCTCATCATTTGCAACAGGTCCATTTTTTGGTTCTCCATCAATTCCATTATGAAACACTTCATCAAACCCTTTCATTCTCTCTTCCTTACTATCATCAAAGTGAACACCTCTCACAGGTTCATCACTAGAACCATCACTAGCTTCATTCAACCTGTCACCATCTTTATCATATTTGACTCCCTTTCCATTCTCTCTAAACTTATCCATAAAGGTATCCTCCTTGTAACTTTAGTCTCACAGAATATCTCAACCTCACACTTATTTCCTACAGCTTACATGGCTAACTCATAAGCATTTCCATCATCCCTAAATGGTTTTAAGTCTTGTTCAAAGGATCCTTCATCATGTTTCCACCACATCTTAACACAACCTATATCAAACTCAGGTTCAATCAAGTTAACTAGGTCATATGCTTCAAAGAAAGACCAGTAATCAGGATCTTGACCACTTAAAGCATATACTTCCCCTCCCTCATGTCTTATGTTAGGGTCTTTTACAAAACAATCCTTTGAATAAAATACAACCTTGAACTTGTCCATTTCCTATACACAAAATTTAACCTAGGTTTAAAATTTATCATTACTCTGTCAAATTCGTTTTACCCTAATTTTTTTCTAAAATTGACAACAAACTTAACCTATTATACAAATGGTAATAAGATGCAACAAATTAAATGAAACGTGACCACTGAGAAAGCAACGAAGATGACATAGAAATAGAATAATAAAAGAGGGAACAAAGAAGATACATAATACATTACCTGTGACCACTTGCTCTGCTTCTCACGAAGTTGTTTTTGAGACCACTCCTACGAAGTCGCTTTGGGACCACTGCAAACCAAGATTTCTTCTTTGAATAGAGCGAAGACTTGTTCTTTGTTCCTTGACCACAACGCACCTCCAAGACAACAACTATGAAAACTTCTATTAGGGCTCTATTGAAGTGGAATGATTGTGTTGTGTTTCATTTTCATCAGTTAAGAAGATTACACTATCAGCCTTTTCACGGTGGCAAATTGACATTTTACATATCACACGTAACCAAAGCAAATTTTGCACTTGATATGCCACATAAGCCTCCGTTAGTGGAAACTAACGGGAGGGACAAGATTTGGGGACGAAAATTTTTGTGAAGATTGTTTAAAAAAAAATTGGAAAAACTAAATTAAAATATTAAAATATTTATAAGAACTAAAAACATATTTAACCCAATTGTCTATTATATTAAGACAACTAAACGCTCAATTATCTAATTTATAAATAGTTTTTTTTTCTTCACTATTGCTCACCTTTTCCATAGTTCCGTTGTGGATGTTGGGTTAAAAATTGATTTTGATTGCAAGACGGGTAACATTGGTGTTTGATTTAAGTTAAAGATTAAGATAATCATAAGCATTGAGCATATTTGGCTGCTGAGTTTAATAATTACAGTTCAGCTATGGACACTTTAATGGGCCAAGTTTTGAGGATTAACAGGCCACATGTAAAAAAAAAACTTTTCATAACATCTAAACATGAATTTGAGTTTTTGTCCTAACACCCTTTTTACTTTACAATACCCCTCATTTTTCTATATTATTAAAAATACCTCATTCAGAAAACCTCGTGTAAAAAATTCATTAGGTTAATAAAAAATTTGGTATGCAATAAAAAAATTTCGTAGGCCAGTTAAAAAATACAGTATGTATTTTTATTGGTTTTCTTTTCAAAAAAATTGACGTTTTTCAAAAATACTAAAGGTTATCGGATTCTTGTAGTGTTAATTTTATTGAAATTTTCAAAAAAAATTGATCACATATTAGTTTTTGATATGTTTTGTAGTTTTTCTAATATCTAAAAAAATTAATATAAAATCATTATTTATTTTTAAAAATTTATAGTTTATAATTTTATATCGAATATTTGAAAAATTCAGTATAAAAAAAATAATTTTATATCATTTTTTTTTAAAATATCTGATATAAAATCATATATTTTAAAAAACATATACGGTTTTATATCTATTTTTTAAAAACATGTGTAAACTCTATGCTTTTGTATCAATTTTTTATTTTTTTTAAAAGATTATATTATATTGGATTTTTTTTAAAATCTAATATAAAAGCATAAATTTTGTGTCAATTTCTTAAAAATCTAATATTAGCTGTTAAATTTATTTAAAGGATGTCAGATAAAATGAAAAAATGTCAGGATAAATTCTTCATACATTTTAATTTACATCAAGAAAACACTAAAAATGTGATTAAACAGACAATTTTATTGAGAGAGTGTAATTTTTGGAGTGAATTTAAATAACTTGGGCCTAAATGTTTGGATAAAGTATTTTACTTTTAAAGTTGATTCTTTACAAATTGAGGGATATTAAAATGTTAAATAAATGAGAATTCTAAAATTCTCGATACACATGTGTAACTTAAATATTAAGTAGATAACAAAGTTAACTAAAACAGCCAACTTTTAACTTAAAAACATTAACAAAGTCTTATCTCTATATTCAATACAAGTTAAAATATATTTCTAATCTCAGTATTAGATAGCATTATTTTCTTGTTCCATTCAATTTTAAAATCATGACTAGTTTGTATGAAATATAAGGAGGACAAAAGTGTAATTTGAATTTAATTATTTTTTAATATTTTTTGGGTTTAATGGTGATGCATTTGGAGTGTAAAAATTTTTTTACACCATCATTCAATAAAAATATATCATTTTACCATGTCATATAAGTAGTTAAAATTTTCAATCGGACTTGATAGAATACATGACCGTCATTGGTTGAAAGTGTAAAATTAATTTACATTGTAAGTGCATCACTCATTTTCTCTTTTTTATTTATTTATAATAAAACACAATTTTAGCCAAATTAGCAAGCATTAGAGATATTAGAGATATTATGAGACAATTGAAATAGAACATACTTTGTGTATAGTCTAAAACCAGTTCTAAAAGAAAACACTACATAGTCATAAGAGACATTATACATAAATTATTCACAAGTCAATGCATAACCAAACCAATAGAAGCAACATATCATCCAACA